AAAAAAAAAGGCAAGTCTTTATTTTGCCAGCCACCCATATGCTAAGAGGAGACTAACAGTTGTAATTGAGTAGTTTAAAATGTCCTGGAGATTTCCAGGCTGTATGCTAGATTATTGCCTGGTCATTTTGGATAGTATAATTCAAAGCACTTGGGAGGGCACTAAGAGATACAGCTTGATAATTGAACTACTTAAGCTTATTAATGTTTAACCTGCTGGAAGATGGGGTGTGACTGGTATAGTAAGTGCTTTCCTAGCATGCATGAAGCCCTGGGTTCATCCCCAACACTCTGTGTGTGTGTTTAAACTTCATTCTCAGAGCCAAGGGAAAAGTCTTTCAAAAAAGGGAGAGTGGTGCGCCCCCAAAAGGGAGGGTACATCATGATCTGCTAGTTTTGTATCATACTGTCATTATAGCATCAAAAACCAGATATTGAAGTTAGAGAATTTGTTGGTGATTTTTCTGATTTTAAACTTTTTTGTTTTTGTTTTTTTTTTTTGTGTGTGTGTGTGTGTGTGTTTATATAGCAATCAAAACTACTGGATGTAACTTAGATAAGGTAAATATTCTTCCTAATGCCCTGATCACTCCACTCATATCAAGCAGTATGATTAAAAGTGAAGATGTTACTCCAATGGAAGTAACAGCAGAAAAAAGATCTTCTCCTATTTTTAAGGTGAGTTATATTGACTAGTTTTAACCTTACATATAAATTTTTAATCTTACATATAAAAATTACTGTATTTACTTTCCTGTTTCACATTTGTTTTGTTTTGAATTCTTAATGAGTTTTGCCTTTTCAGAGTGAGTGTTATGTATTTTGACAAGAATAATTTATACCTGTGGCTTGGGGAATATTAATAAATTATAATTTTTAGTTGGTCTTGGTGGTACATACCTGTAATCCCAGCACTTTGGAGGCTGGGACAGGAGAATTGTGAATTCAAGGCTGGCCTGGACTATATAGCAAAGCCCAGTACTCCCCCAAGTCTGTTAACATTTTCAGAATTAAAACATTTTATTTCCATCTCTTCCCACTCCTTTTTTCATTTATTTTTCTCCCCTGCAATGTTACTGGTGATCCACAAAATTGGAAGAATTTTGAGGTCTGCTGATCACAAACCATAGAGTTAATGTTCCATTATTACCTTTAATTTGCCACAGCATATCAGTAATTGATTATTAACCTACTTTCTTGTTTGACTCTTGACTTACAATACTTTAAAATCAGATATCATGTTATCAATGGATTTTCGTTGTCTTACAACTATTTAATAATTATTTGAGTCAAAAATTGATATATATTTTTTAGAACAGTGATCCTCTTTTTTTAAGTGTCATGTGTCCTTATTTAATGTCTATATATATCTA